ATCTTCGCTTCTCCGTAAACACTGACAAACGATGATTTCACTATCAGAGATAATAGGACTATCGCACGCTCTAGTGCTGTTCGTTGTTGGACTTGTGATAATTCATCGGTTTCGACGTCCAAAACTTGTAAGTGACGCTAAACCTTTTTCTTATATTTGCATAGAACGAACCTCCGCTCGTACCTTACAAATATCCGTTTGTCGGACATTCTTTTGAATTTAAGCGAAATCCTGAGGAGTTTATCAAACAATGTCATAAGAAGGTATTGCTATCATTTCAAACGAGCATGATATTCATTTCGGGTTGTTTAAAACTGAATCTGTATTCATTTGATATGATAGTACGGGGATATCTTCTCGTTTTATGCGTCTCGCCAAATTTACACTGTTGTCAGCAATGATCTGGTCTATGAACTGTTCCGGTCGTCTGATTTTAGTTTCAGGAGCGTGTCTGACGTTGGTTCAACAATCGCACAAGCATTCATCGTTATTGCTTTGAGATATTTATTCACTTCACTTGTTAATCAGAGATTCCCGTTTTACGACATCATTGGATCAACCCTATATCCAGATTTTACTGATAACCTATCCGCGATGCTTAAAGATAGTTTATACGGACATCTTGCCGATTATCAGACACGAATCTACCGCGAGTTACGAAATGGTATAGATCAGTTGATCGGGGACTGTAAGGAAGCTAAAGTAATTAACAATCCTGAGTATATAATAAGGATTATTATCGCGCGGACAGTTGCAAATGTGGTTGTTGGTGAGGTAGATATTGTACTGGTTGAGGTTTGCGATTTTTTTTTTTTTTTTGACTCAATTTAATTGTAAAGCAATGCCATTTCTCAGACGCTATGTAGAGATCCTGAAGTCGTGGAAACTTTTGCAACATTTGCTACTGTGTTGGTGCAGAGTAGAAAGCTTTCCGACTTTGCGTATTTTATTCATCCTAGTGTCCACAGAAAATACGCGAAGTGTGTCTAAGATTTTCGTTGCTTGGAATCGATCCGAGAATAGTATCAATAGTGGATGCCATACTTAATACGTCTTGTTAACTTTCCAACTCTAGATTAATCTTCAACTGCGGTGACAACCCAGTACAAAAGCACAAGGATCTTTTAATAAGAAAATTAAAGTTCGTTTTTGAGAAACATCATCAGCGAGACAGGCAACAGCACGGAAATGAATGGACATGTGCTGTAAGTAAATTTATTTTCAGTTTCTATTATCAATAAGTTATGAAAATTACTAATTACGGTGCACACACATAGATGATCTTATTGACAGAATTATCAACCATTCCCTTGAATTATTTGGTCAAGTCCAATATGATTATATAGCATGCTATTTGTTGAGTCTTATATTGGCTGGAATACACACCGTGAGTGCAAATGTATTGAATACTCTTAATGGTGAGTAAGGCTGAGAAATGCAGCAGTGTCTATTTATTCATTGTAGCGATGAAGAATTAACATGCCTAAAATGTTTGTATTTTAACTAGATTTTGCGGGAAGGCCGGAGTACTGGGAGGATCTAAGAGAAGAGCAAGAATTCATTGCAGGTGATGTTGAATCTGATTTGAGTGTAAGACAAGTGAACGAAATGAAAAAGTTGGATAGTTTCGTCAAGGAATCCACTCGTCTTGTTGGGCATGTTCGTGAGTATTTGCACAAGTTGAAAAATTCACCGCGTTTAATGTTCTTTTTTATTCGACTGTTGTGTTTATATTAAGTGGCTTTCTCCCACCGCGTGATGAGCTCGTCGTACACATTCAAAAATGGATATCAGGTTCCCAAAGGTATGTTATTCACATCGATCTAACTACAGTCAATTAATGTATTGATTATCGTTATCTAATAATGATTTCCTGACTCTAGACCGCCTTGTATTTGTGAACCATCTCGCCTACATGTCTGATCCCTCTCTGCATGGTGACAATCCTGAGACATTTTCTGGATTTAGATACGTTGAAAAGATCCATTTACCAAGGTTGGTAGGGCATCAATAGCATTTGGTTTGGGAAGACATGCGTGTCCGGGTAGATGGTTTGCCGTTAACAATATCAAGATAGCAATGGCAATTCTCATCAGAAAGTATGAGATTAGCAGTCTTGATGGGAAGCGACCAAAAAATATCATAGGATATGGAGGTATCATAATTGCTTCTGCGCCTTTGAAGTTTAAAAGCAGAGAGTAAGGGCCGTTATTTGTATATTTATGCTGCGGAGGAAGATTTACCATGCGACTTGTATCAGTCAGCTTGGCTGTATTAGTATAGTACGGTAGTAGCAAGTTTCATTTTTCGTTTACATAGATAGTCAACCTCGATCGATAAGTCGGCCCTCGATAAGTCGGAACTCGGCCAAAAATTGGCCAATCTATATAATTTCTTGATAAGCTGTTTGTTTAAGCCGGCATATACCTCGATAAGTCTCACGTGATAACAATGCTCTTTCTATTGGTTGTGTTACAACGATACCAAATAATTATTCGCGCGCGAGTGTTATCATGACATAAGATCACTGATCACTAGAAAACTAAAATTGTCTTGCAAAAAAAAAATTATAAATAAAAGAGCGTTGGTACTTATATTCAATAATAACTCTACTGTGGTTAACTCTAATAAAGGTGGTAGTAAAAAGGGAAGAAAATTGAAAACTCTTACAGCCATTGAGAAAAAATCTTTATGCGAATATAAAGCTGCCCATCCAAATGGAAACCATGAACGTATTGCAGAATTATTTCAAATTGGTAAATCGACAGTATGAGATATTCTCAGAACAAAGGAAAAATAACTTTCAATTGCAGAAAAAACGATAGCTGCCAATAAGAAACATGATCGTGAATGTGAATAGCCAAACATAGAGACCGCGTTAGTCATGTGGATTGATCTTGCTAACCGAGCAAACCATACAGTAACTGGTGCAATATTAGTTCAAAAGGCATTGGAATTTGCTCAAAAATTGGGTATCTCAGACTTCAATGCATCAGTGGTTAGTTGGTAATTTATGCAATTTATGTAACCAATTAATCAGTTATTAATCATCATTTGTCAAATAGGCAAAGGAATAACATTAAAGACTACTGTAAATTAGGAGAGGCGGCAAGTGCGCCAATTCAAGATTTGCCAGCTTATAGGACGGACTGCAGTCTTTAATCGCAAAGTATGATTTAGAAGACGTATACAATGCAGATAAAACCAGACTTTATTGGAAGCTAGAGCCGAATCTCTTGCCAGAAACTTTGTTATTGGAACAAAAAAACCTAAGGATCGGATAACAATTACTGTATGCTTGCATGCAATGCAACAGGAACCCATAAATTGCCGGCAGTTTTTATTTACAAATTTAAGAATCCTCGTTGTATCCGCAACATAGATAAAAAGACATTTCCCGTCTTATACTATTGGAATAATTCGGCATAGATGCAAGCGTTCTATCTTTCGAAGCTAAATAAGAATTGTCGACCAAGAAACGCGACAAAAGAAAAGACATATTTTGTTGATGTGGATAATGCATCGTGCATCATTTGGAGGAGAATGAAAATCAAGTAATATTGAACTGCATTATTTGCCGCCAAATACTACCACACATCTTCAACCGATAGACCAGGGTATAATATATTCATTATTATTATCCATTAACTGTTGTTTAATGATTTGTGCA